TGTGTTCCGCACTTTTTACGTAAGCTCTGTGGACTGCATGCTTAGTTAGTTTGTACTGCACTGTCAAGATGATATTCACTACGGCGGTAAATGATCCCGTGAGAATTACGGGGCAGGAGCTTGTCCTATGCCGACTTTCCTTCAACCACGACGGTAACTGCTGTAGTGGTAGGAGAGAGCGACACACGCCGTGCGCCGCAAGGTAGTGTATCAGTCGCTGCTTTTCAATCAGAGAGAAGCAGTGTTAGAGTATGGTTACGGACGGGTACGTTGCTGCTCGGACGATACGGAATCCCATCCCTGGATTCTTAAAATGTTCCATATTACTTGTCGCTGCTGAAATTACACTGAAGCAACTAAAAGTACTCCCTCCGTCTCATAATATAAGAGTGTTTTGTCTAGTGTCAAAAACGCTCTTATATTATAGGTAAAGGGAATAATATGGATCCAAGGAAGTGGCTAATTAAGCAGGCCACGATCGTGTCATGTTAATTAGGGCACCACTGCTTGATTTAGTTTGTCGAGAGCATGGGCTCAGCCAACACCAACTAGCTGGTTATTAGAACCAATTTGGTCCGCGTGTTCGGTTAATTTTGTCTTGCTTGTAGAGGCTGATCAACATGTTGCCCGGTCTTTTCTTCCACGGGATCAGATCACGCGGAAGCTATAGCTAGAGACAGCAAGATGTGCACACCCTGAGAAGTTGCATGCACACTAGAGTCCCACAAAGCACACTGCTCATAACTCATGAGTGCAAAGCAAGACCTCCTGGGATCAAAAGCAAATCTTTGAATCGCTAGTGTTTGTTGCAAAGTTGTGATCGCGGACCTCATCATGGCCTACTTATTTGCCAGCAAGTAGGGCACTGCATTGACGCACAGGACAAATGGAAATTAAAGTATCTATCATATGTCGTATGTGCAAATATAATTTTGTTGGGAAAAGCTATTACACTGATTGAAGCATGATCGTGAACAAACAAGAATATCACATAGTACGTGCTCGCTACTCCCGGCTTGTGAGTTGTGGCTACAATTGACATGCTTGTTCATTTTCAACGATGGAAATATATTAATACCGACAAAATATCAATTGCACTCGCAAAAAGTAAAATAAAATCAATTACATCCTACCTATGCACCAATACAACCTGAAGAGCTATTCAAGATATCGAGGATGCAGACACCCAAATTATTAGTACAAAATAAGAAGAAAAAGTGACCAATGAAACAACTCCAAAAAGATAAGAACAACAGTAACCATCAATGACGACAACCATAGAATATGTGCTCCAGCAATGACGCTCCTAGGAAGAGAATGACCTAGGGGCGCCATCGTAACTGGACCTAAAAACAAGGTTAGATCATGGATTTTCACCTAGTATCGGCACTGGGGTTTTCAAGACCATGCAAGAGAATTGCGTGTATTAGAGGAGGAAAAGAGGTCAGATCATCTTCAAGGTAGACCCGTAAAACTCCGGTATATATCCGACCTGACACTTTTTTTCACTTTTGTAATCCAACACGGTCCTGCACAAGCTACCAGAGCCCACAACGCTCGTCTAGCGCCACGCAAGGGCAATGTACTACCAGCACTGGTCACCTAGCTAGATATGAACTGTTGTACTAGGAGCTAGCTTGACCAAACGCCATCAATGCAAGGTGGTTTAGAAACGTATGGATCCCAATCTAATGATGCACAAATGTTCCTACATATGCATACATACATGTCGATTCGCCCAAGACGTGAAGCTTTGGAGAGAAAAGAAGAAGAAGAAGCGGGTGCCCAACTCAAAACTGTTTAACAATGACTAGGCAGCAACAAAAGGGTGCATTTTATTTTTCCTTTTGGTAATTGACTCTAGCCTAGCTCAGTTGCTTTCAGGGCGAAAGGGAAAAGGCCGTAGAGCTAGCACAGTGCTGTGGCTACAAGCAAGGAATAAAGCAACATCAACAAAGGCCCCAACTATTAGTACACACTTCCTCCTTGTGTGTCTTGTGTGTTGTGTCCCTTGCTTCTCTGCTGCGAGGTGGAGGAGATGAGCCCTGTGATGCAGCCTTGACAGTTGTTTACTGTTGGAAAAGGAAGCTCATCATATGGATTCAGCAGATGCTGACCGTTGAGCTTTTGTACTTGCCATCATTTGATGCTTCACAAGATTGGACATGCATGTGAATGGGCAAAAGGCACAAATTTGACCTTAGGTCGAAACTATT